ATATTTAAGATAATGTAGATACAAAAAATAAAAAGAAGAAAATGAAGTTTATAATGATGAAGACGAGAAGGAAAAATACCAATAAGAAAACATATGGCAGTATTCTGGGGAATTCCAACTCTGTCTGAGAGAAAGATGACACTTCTGCAATAATAGTCTGGTTAAATTAGTTAAATTAATAAAGGTTAAATTAGCAAGTTGTATTTATTAGACATATATAGATAGCTGTATGGCACAACTGAAAAATACGTATTCTGTGCTGGAATGTGGCAGAGGAGTAGAGAACTAGTATAGAGGGAGGGTCCCTGGGGTCAATTTACATCAGTGCAAGAAAAAAAAAACATATTCTTTCCCCTCAAACAAGGAGTATTAAAAAGATGTGCATATGAACTAGTTTCATTAAGCCTCAACAGGTAGAACAATCAGGAATACTACAAAAAGACTCTGTGCTATAGTCTTGCAAAATCAAATATCAGGCAGTATTAATGAAAAATGTCACTTGTTGGGAAACCATTTACAAGATATCAGAAAATGTGGAGCACAGATGCTATTTAAGATAAGCACTACAACAGATGTCAAATTTTGCATTGAAATTATTTTTCACTTTTTAATGTGAAAAGGGACTATGCATGCACAGTGCCACCTCTCTTAGTATCCTGAGAATTTTCACTCTTGTCCATCCTTTATTTCTCTTCCAAATGTCTTTGCCTTTTCAAGGTTTCCCCTCCTGTGAAGAACTAAAGGTAACAGGAGCTTCTTGGGTTTCAATGGTAGAGCCATCCTTCTGCTGCATCATACTCACCCCACAGATGCCAACATATTCTGCATGTGTGCACCATTCAATGTTTTGTTCCCCTATTTGTTATTTCAGCTTCATATGGATGTCATGTCTGTAACATGAACTATTAAATGGTATATTACTGTTTGAGATCAACTTAGTTCTTTATAATACAAAATATTTATAACCACATCCTAAACATCTCCTGCTTTTCCATCCTTCACACTTTCCTTTGTAAATGGAATCAGTTTCCTTTGTGCATGTAAAAAGTGGTAAGGATCACCAAGACCCTAAGTTATGCCATTACTTTAGTATAAGTTCTAAAACCTTCTAGGCACAAGCTCTTCCAGAAACAAATTATAATGTCTGGTTATTCATCTTGATTTAGAATGTGATCTTAAATCAGATTTCTGTATAAAAGTGTACCACAAGCAATGTCTAAAGTAAGATTTGTTTATCATAAGCCTTCAAGCTAAGAAATTAAGAGAGCACCTGATTGATAGTTTTTGCGTGGAGATGTGTCAATGTTTCCTTCTATCACAAAAATATGAAGCAAGTTCTCTTTGATCTATTATAAGGACATTAATCTCATCCATGATAAATCCACAGGCAGAATCTAGTTTAACATAAATCAACTTCCAAAAGTCAACCTAAAGCCAGCACATTCAGGTTTAGGCTCTTAGGATACGAATTATGGGGAGACACAGCATTCAATTAACAAGTGGTATTGTCCTGGACTGGAAGACAATTATGTATTGAGTCTTTTCTCTAAGGACTACTTGCTCTCTTTTCAGCCTTATCCACAACAGTTACCAGAATGTTCTAGCCATCAGTTTTGCCATTGAAGAGATCAACAGAAATCCTCATCTTTTACCCAACATATCTCTGGGATATGAGTACCATAATTTAATTTACAGTCACTGGAAGTTTTTAGAAAGTATCATCACTTTGTACACAGGACAAAATGGGACACCTAACTATAGCTGTGGGAGAGAGACTAAATCTGTAGCATTACTCACAGGATCACCATGGGTAATTTCTTCTCAAATTGGACCTTTGCTGGAACTCTACAAATTTCCACAGGTGAGACAGGGTAAATAGGGCAGGATCAAATCATGCCACATTAGTGGACAGTTTCAGATTGAGTTCCTAAGGATGGTGAATGGATGGACTGGGTTTATGTGATGCACAAATTGTACAACCTCAAAATGTAACACACTGAGATTTTTCAATTACCCATATTCTCTTTATGTACATCATGAAGGAGGTACAGAGGAAATTAAGGATTTCCTGAACTCAGAGTCTGCTCAGTTATTTTCTAAAACAGGACACTTATGAAGTGAGATGATTAAATAGATGGGATAATGAATATTTCCTTGTACAATTTTCAGATATTTTTCAGTACTCTTCAGGCCTAAGGTTGTGCTTTGCGTCAACTTGCTTCACAAAACTTTCACTTTTCTTTTCCTTTTAGCTTACCTTTGGCGCTTTTGATCCCGAGTTCAGTGAAACTAGTCAGTTTCCTTCTGTCCATCAGATGGCCTCAAAGGATGAATCTCTGGCCCTTGGCATGGTGTCCTCGATGCTTCATTTCCACTGGACCTGGGTGGGACTGGTCATCACAGCAGGTCAGAATGGTTTTCGATTTCTCTCAGATGTGAGGGGAGAGATGGACAAGAATGGAGTCTGTGTAGCATTTGTAAAAATGATCAAAAATGCTATTGCGTCATACCTCTGGAGTCCAAAGCTGCAAGATTTCCTGAGCAGAGAAACATCACCTGTAAATGTGGTTATCATTTATTATGATACTGACAGTCTTAATGATATAAACTATCAGGTCGGGGTACATCTAGTGACATGGAGAGTCTGGGTGACAAACACTCAATGGCATGCTGAATTGTCTGGGAGAAATTTTATCCTTGATTCATTCCATGGGAGTCTCGTTTTTACACACCACTATGAGGAGATTTCCGGTTTTAATGAGTTTATCCAGACAGCTACCCCCTTCAAATACCCAGAAGACACTTTCCTCACTCTGTATTGGTTCAGGAATTTCCGCTGCTCATTCTCTGATTCTGACTGTTCACTGAAGGACTGTACACCTAATGCTTCTCTGGCATGGCTGCCTGCAAATCGTTTTGACACTGCCATGAGTGAAGGGAGCTACAACGCATACAATGCTGTGTATTTGGTAGCGTACGCCCTGCAAGAGATGCTTCTTCAACAAGGTGAAATGCAACTGATCGGAAGTGGGGACACCACGGTGTTCTCCCCCTGGCAGGTAATGTATTTTTACTGTAAGGCAGGCCCTGGTATCATGATCATCTTATAGAACTTTCTACAAGTGCTCAAATCCAGTAAACAAAAATCTTTTCCTGAAAAACCCAAAGATTCTGTATTAATTTTATTTTTGAGATAAAATTTTGACCTGGAAATGAATCAAGATCATTGCTTTGGTTGGAAAAGATGTTAATATTCTATCTAATCATATTTTCCATCAAAAGATGAAAACTTTACCCTTGCAGTTTAAAAGAGAAAACATGAATATATATGAATATTATATATTATATATGAATATATACATATGAATATTTGTATATATAATTTACTTATGTACCTAAATGTGGTAAATATTGCAGTGGATGTTTTATATAAAATTTGCATTTTATTCTATAACCATTTTGGATTGATAACCTCATTTTGCACATCAATACTGTGGGAACAATCACAAAATTCTGATTAGACAGTGTTGCCACCCATCCAAATCATATATTTACATGGATTTTGTTTAAATATCTTCTCTTCAAGCTGACAATTTAGAAACATTGTGATATTTAATTTATTCCACTTCATTTGTTGCCTGTGTTGAGCTTCCACTATGAAACAAGGAGTAAAGAAAATTAGCGACTGTCCCACATTCAGGTTTTGTTTCTTAACATTGGGATGCAATTCATCATAGGATTATTCATCCTTTTCAGCTCCACCCCTTTCTGAAGGACCTCCAGTTCAACAGTCCCACTGGAGAACAAGTAAACTTAGGCAAGGCAAATAAAGTGGGTACAAAGTATGATATTCTCAACTTGTGGAACTTTCCAGAAGGTGTTAGACTCAGGGTGAAAGTTGGAGGGTTTTCCCCTCAGGCTCCACTTGGTCAACAGCTGTCTGTGTCTGAGGAGATGATAGAGTGGGCTGCAGGAATTACTGAGGTAAGTTGGATCTGCACATAACTCATTCCATGACATTTCATTAGACATAAATAAATGAAATTCTCTGTATTTTGTGCCCCACCCCTGGTCACAAATGGTCACAAATGGAATAACAGTTTGCCTTTCAATGCTAAGCATTTTCTTATTTCTCTAATTTCTGTTGAATGGGAATAAAGGTCATTTACTTAACCATATTTTAGTCAATACTCATGTTTTTATCATAAGTATGGGATTCAAGTAAATATATGACTTTATGCATTTATAAAAAATGTTTGTTACTATGGTTGTGAAAGGTTAAGTAAAATTTAGAGAAGTTGCCAACACTCATCTGATTTTCCCCAGACTCCCCGCTCTGTATGCAGTGAGAGCTGCAGTTCTGGATTCAGGAAATCCCCCCAGGAGGGAAAACCTGCCTGTTGTTTTGATTGCACCCCTTGCCCAGAGAATGAGATTGCCAATGAAACAGGTAAGAGTAAATCTTCTCAACCAATTGTCATGCTTTCTTTGGCTTCACATAACTCCAAGAAAAGAATATAATTTTGAACTGAAGAGCAAAGGCAAATTCTTTCTTCCTTTATTGAGCAATTTACCTCTGTAATATTACCCTTTCATAAACCACACTCTCTATCCCCTGAGCTATTTCTGAGATTTTTTTCTTTTGCTTTCCTGGGAATGTGATATAGACACATTCTACCACCGGGCCACATCCCCATTTCTTTTAAATTTATTATGCTTAGGAAAAAATCTCACTAAGTTTCTCAGGCTCACCTAAAACTTTTGATCCACCAACTATAGCTTCTAGAAGTTGGGAATATAGGCATGTGCCACCACACCTGGTGCCTTTATATATTTTTCTAGACTCATTGAAAGCATGATGTTCTCAGCCCATTAGGGTGGTGCATGCCTGTTATCCCAGCACTCTGAGAGGCTGGGGCAGTATGATTGAGTTTGAGCTCTATCTGGGACAGCTTAATGATTTAGTGAGATAATTTTACAAAATCAAAAATCACAAAATTCTGGAATGTAATACAGTGTGAAGGCCCTGGGATTTGTCTTCAGTTCCACAGAAACACAAATAAAAGAAAGTACTGTACTCTCAACAGGAAATTAGAAGAATAAAGACATGCCATGCCCAGGATCCTAATAAACACTATATGTCATAATATGAACTAAGACAAATAATAACAACATGTACCAAAAAGAGGGTAGGGCAATAGGATGAGGAAGGAGGAGGGACATGAAAGGGGAAGGTGATTACAAAAAAGAAACTAGCTGTGGTATGTACATGTCACTGCTCCCAAAGATGATTGTAAACTCCATGAACTGCAAAGATAAAAATATTTTAAAAGAATAAATAATGAGATAAGTGCCAGAAAACCCTCTTTTACTCCCCAAAGTTGCTTCTCTTTCACCTCCATCACTATTTTAACAGAATATTATTAAGTACCAACACTTCTTTTTGAAGCTTCATTTAGATCTTCTCAAAGACAATGAAATTCCAGATCCTTAGTTTCTCAGTACCTAGCATGTCTCTTGACACAAGTGCTAGAGGGACCTTGGCTTTTTATCCTTGCTCTCCTGCAATTTATAGGCGATTAAGGGAGACTGCATCTTGGGGTGTATTGCATAACCTGTGCATTTAATTTTAAAAAAGGATTGTAAAAGATGCATTGTAATTAATTTCTCTCAAAACACTCTTGCTTACTTTGACCACATCCCATAATTTCTGCCACTTTTTGCAACAGGTTTTAATAAGCATCTTTATTTGCACTGTTAGGCTGTAACATCTTCAAAATGTTTACCTTTCTTGTCATTGTGACTTTGGGGAAGAGCCAGAGGGAGCACTGTGTGGCAAATCCAGTGAACAGGTAGATGAGGATGCACCATAGTGTTCTACAGCCTGCTTTTCTGTACTTAACTGCAGAGTTCACTGAATATTTGACCACATCTCATAGAGACACAAAAAAAGACTTCCTGAACCAATTCAGAAAGCTGCAAGAATTATGGGAAAAGTGCTTTAAAAGTAAAGGAGGGTATATTAAGGGAAATTAATACCAATCTGTCTTTTACTGTCACAATGTTTAAAATTTTAACATTGTCCATACTTTTGAATTAATAATTCCATATGGATATGAATTATGGTTAGGGCCATGAGCTTCAAGATTTATATCTGCATAGAGTGTAGGATGTAATAAATGATCAAGTCTACATTTTTATCTGTGTATTATAAACTTTTTTTCACAAAGCCCTTAGCCTCTGTATTATATCAGATGGGCGTAGGGTATGTTAAATTCTTGATATGATCAACAGAAATGGAGACCATGGAATATCTCTAATTTGTATAATAGGTGAAGTACATAAAATGAGGTTCAGTATTATTAAAGAATGGAGAATATGCAGATGGGTTTTGGGCCATGATGCAGAAATGGTAAAGAAAACCCATATTGAATATTTTTGAACAACAAAATTGTCACTTTGGAAATAGTTGAATTTTTGATAATAAACCTTGGCTTGGTAAAATCACCTCTGTGCTGCATATTTTAAATTTTTAACTGTTACATATTTTAATTTCACAATATTTAGCATAATTTTGAATTAATTTTGAAATATAATGAGATTGATTATATAGTGTAACATGCAGTATACTCAGATTGGGTGTATGGTGTTTTTAGATATATACATTCCATGTGCACACGTAGAGAAGAATACATCCACACTATCTGCTTCTGGTTTAAGAAATGCAGTCTTCAGTATTAAAAATATATATCATATAAAAATAATATCATATAAATTTACATAGTTATTATATAAACGAATATAAATATAGCATGTAATACTAAAACAGAAATTGTCTTTGAGAATTTTACCTACCAAACTCTTGGATTGAA